GGTAAAGTGCCTCCCACTTGTTAAGGGACCAAAAGTAATGGGACAATTGGCTTCTCAGCTGTTCCATGGCTAGGTGTATGTTATTCCCTCATTATCCCAATTACAATGAGCAGATAAAAGGTCCAGAGTTCATTTCAAGTGGGCTATTTGTATTTGGAATCTGTTGTTGTCAACTCTTAAGATGAGATCCAAAGAGCTGTCACTATCAGTGAAGCAAGCCATCATTAGGCTGAAAAAACAAAACAAACCCATCAGAGAGATAGCAAAAACATTAGGCGTAGCCAAAACAACTGTTTGGAACATTCTTAAAAAGAAGGAACGCACCGGTGAGCTCAGCAACACCAAAAGACCCGGAAGACCACGGAAAACAACTGTTGTGGATGACCGAAGAATTCTTTCTCTGGTGAAGAAAACACCCTTCACAACAGTTGGCCAGATCAAGAACACTCTCCAGGAGGTAGGTGTATGTGTGTCAAAGTCAACAATCAAGAGAGGACTTCACCAGAGTGAATACAGAGGGTTCACCACAAGGTGTAAACCATTGGTGAGCCTCAAAAACAGGAAGGCCAGATTAGAGTTTGCCAAACGACATCTAAAAATGCCTTCACAGTTCTGGAACAACATCCTATGGACAGATGAGACCAAGATCAACTTGTACCAGAGTGATGGGAAGAGAAGAGTATGAAGAAGGAAAGGAACTGCTCATGATCCTAAGCATACCACCTGATCAGTGAAGTATGGTGGTGGTAGTGTCATGGCGTGGGCATGTATGGCTGCTAATGGAACTGGTTCTCTTGAATTTATTGATGATGTGACTGCTGACAAAAGCAGCAGGATGAATTCTGAAGTGTTTTCGGGAATATTATCTGCTCATATTCAACCAAATGCTTCACAACTCATTGGACACCGCTTCACAGTGCAGATGGACAATGACCCAAAGCATACTGCAAAAGAAGCCAAAGAGTTTTTTAAGGGAAAGAAGTGGAATGTTATGCAATGGCCAAGTCAATCACCTGACCTGAATCCGATTGAGCATGCATTTCACTTGCTGAAGACAAAACTGAAGGGAAAATGCCCCAAGAACAAGCAGGAACTGAAGACAGTTGCAGTAGAGGCCTGGCAGAGCATCACCAGGGATGAAACCCAGCGTCTGGTGATGTCTATGTGTTCCAGACTTCAGACTGTAATTGACTGCAAAGGATTTGCAACCAAGTATTAAAAAGTGAAAGTTTGATTTATGATTATTATTCTGTCCCATTACTTTTGGTCCCTTAACAAGTGGGAGGCACATATGCAAACTGTTGTAATTCCTACACCGTTCACCTGATTTGGATGTAAATACCCTCAAATTAAAACTGCCAGTCTGCAGTTAAAGCACATCTTGTTCGTTTCATTTCAAATCCATTGTGGTGGTGTATAGAGCCAAAATGTTAGAATTGTGTTGATGTCTCAATATTTTTGGACCTGACTGTATATCAATGATACACATTAATATCAATAGAGCACAAGTGGGGTGATGTCACATCCCCAAAATGCTTCACAGGCTCCAATGTGAACAAATGATAAATGCAATTTTTTCAGTATGGGTGCATGTATTCGTTTTTGCAAAAAGTGAAATATATGATATCTGATATTCATCATCATATGAGGCTGATTTGATGGGAGGACCACTTTGTATTTGGGAGCCTTTGATGTAGTGAGGGGACTTTGATGTGTGTGTGGGGGGGGGAGGGGGGGGCTCTGATGTTACCGGATGACCTCTGATGTGGTGGGAGGACCTCTAATGTAAAGGGAGGCTCTGATGTGAAGGGGAGAATCTGGTGTGATGGGAGGACTTTGATGTGAAGGGAGGGACTCTGGTGTGATGAGGATGTTAGGAGGGATCTCTGATGTGAAGGGGTGGAGGGATCTGATGTGATGAGGGGACCTCTGATGTGAAGGGGAGAATATAGTGAGAAGGGAGGACTTTGGTGTGAAGGGAGGACTCTGGTGTTATGAGGATGTTAGGAGGGGACCTCCGATGTGAAGGGAGGACTCTGATGTGAAGGGGGGACTCTGGTGTGATAAGGATGTTATGAGGGGACCTCTGATGTGAAGGGGGGACTCTGATGCTGAGGGGGGGGACTCTGATGTGATGAAGATGAGATGTTATGATGGGACCTCTGATGTGAATGGGGGACTCTGATGTGATGAGGATATTATGAGGGGACCTCTGATGTGAAGGGGGGGGGGGGGTCGGATGTGATGGGCAGACCTATGATGTTATGGCGGAACCTCTGATGTGTGGGATGACCTCTGATATGATGGGAGGACCTCTGATGTGGTGGGAAGACCTCTGATGTGATTTGGAGCTTCTAATGTGTTTCAGAGCTTCTGATGTGACAAGGAGACTTTGATGTGGGGGGGAAGAGGGGTTCTGATGTGACTGGGTGACCTCCTATGTGGTTGGAGGACCTCTGATGTGAAGGGGGGCTCTGATGGGATGAGGAGACCTCTGATGTGAAGGGAGGACTCTGATGTGAAGGGAGGACTCTGATGTGATGAGGAAGTTATGAAGGGACATATGCTGTACTACTAATGGTTAGCCGACAGCTAGCTAACAAAACTGACAGAAGCAGCATTGTGTTTCATTACAAAACTGAATTTACTTCTGTGTATAGTTCTGTAAAACTGCAATACAATCACATAAACTGAAGTTACAATATGCTTGTAGACATGTCTCTCACAAATGCATACAATGAACACATTTCTTACAAAACGTTACATACATACCACAATGAATATATTCAAATACGATCTAGCTATGTATATGACTTTACCAAACACAATGGGTGAACTTACAGGCATATGTGAATCAAGGGGAGAAGGGAAGCCTTCACTGGTGTGTTCTTCTGGAAGATAAACTGGAACTGGACAGATGTGAGAGTGAAACTTCCTGTTTCAGAAAATAATAGACTGCAATTGCAGTTAATACCCAATAGATGGCTCCCTACCCAACACAATGATGAGAATATAGAACATGACCTATGATGTGAAGAAGGGAATCCTAGGTTGAGGGGGACCTCTGATGTGAAGGGGGAACTCTGATGTGAGGAGGTTATTATGGGGGGACCTCTGATGTGATGGGGGCCTGTGTTGTGAAGGGGGTACTCTGATGTGATGATGGAAACTCTGATGTTGTGAGAGGACGTCTGATGTAATGGTGGAATCTCTAATGTGGTGGGAAGGATGTCTGATGTGATAGTGGAACCTCTGATGTGATGGAGGGACCACTGATTTGGTGGGAGGATCTCTGATGTGATAATGGAACCTTTGATGTGATGGGCTGGGGGGGGGGGGGGCTCTGGTGTGGTGGGAGGACTTCATGTGATGGTGGAACCTGTGATGTGACGGAGAACTCTGATGTGATGGTGGAACCACTGATGTGGTGGGAAGGTCTCTGATGTGACGGCGGAACCTGTGATGTGATGGAAAACTCTGATGTGATGGGGGGACCTCTGCTGTGATGAGAAGACTTCCAATGTATTGGGGGGACCTTTGATGTGGTGAGAAGACCTCTGATGTGATGGGGGGACCTCTGGTGTGATGGGAAAGACCTCCAATGTGATGGGGGGATCTCTGATGTGGTGTGAGAAGACCTCTGATGTGTGATGGGGACCTCTGATGTGGTGAGAAGACCTCTGATGTGATGGGGGGGGCCGCTGATGTGGTGGGAAGACCTCTGATGTGATGGTTGACCTCTGATGTGGTGAGAAGACCTCTCTGTGAATTCTGATGTGGTGAGGACCTCGGATGTGGGGGGGGGGGGGCGCTGATGTGGTGAGAAGACCTCTGATGTGATGAGGGACCTGGAGTGACCTCTGATGTGATGGGGGAGGACCTCTAATGTGAAGAGCTCTGATGGAGGACCTCTGATGTGGTGAGAACCTCTGATGTGTTGAGAAGACCTCTGATGTGTAAGAAGACCTGATGGGGGGGGGTTCTGATGTGGTGAGAAGACCTCGGATGTGATGGGGGGGGGGGGTGCTGATGTGGTGAGAAGACCTCTGATGTGATGAGGGACCTCTGATGTGATGAGAAGACCTCTGATGTGATGGGGGGACCTCTGATGTGGTGAGAAGAGCTCTGATGTGATGGGGGGGGGGGGGGCGCTGATGTGGTGAGAAGACTTCTGATGTGATGGGGGACCTCTGATGTGGTAAGAAGACCTCTGATGTGATGGGGGGGTGCTGATGTGGTGAGTGAAGGGACCTCTGATGTGATGGGGGGGACCTCTGATGTGGTGAGAAGACCTCTGATGTGATGGTGGAACTTATGGTGAGATGTTGGAACCTGTGACGTGCCTGTTGCTTCCAGGGGCAGACTGACAATTCATGGGGCCCCCAGGCAATAGGGGATCATGAGGCCCCTGTGTCCTTGCCCAAACTCAAAAAATTCTATGAAAAAGGTACCAGGGGCATCTCATGGGGCCCCCTACTGACCCCGGGCCCTCAGGCAGTGCCCGAGTCTCCAAATGGTCAGTCCGACCCCTGGTTGCTTCTGATGTGAAGATAATTTCATCAAGGTGGGTGTGTACATTGTTGCAGGCTGGGGTTCCCCCACAGGTAACATTTCACACTGCCTAGTTTTTAGAACGTAGAGAAAGGCTGAGCCAAACACTAAGCAGCCCCCATCACTGCACGACATCCCTCACCACAGCAAGGAGCTCGAAGCTGTCCTCCCTCACACTGCTGGTCTAGTCTATATTTTATTCGACACTTAGCAGCCAGTAGCCGTGGCTCAAGAATAGTGGCGGACTCCTTGGACCCCCGCAGCCATTGGAGAGGCGGAGACACTGTAGAGGGGCATTTTGGCCTCTAGTACCCAAAACTCTCTGGAAGGGGATTTGAGGGAGGCGTGACGTCAGCCTTGGTTAGAAATTTTCTCGGCGCCATTTTGGAGCTGCTGTGGTGTGGGATTGTGCTGCTCGCTGCCCGTTGTGTTTGTCCCCCTCAGTAAGGATGGCCATGGCTAACAGGAACCTGAAGCAAGTGCGCATCGTGAGGAACGTCATCCCGAACAAAAGCGGCTCCGACATGGTGTCCCCTCCGCAGCAGCAGATGGTGACTCCGGGCAAGGGCATGAAGCGCAGCCTGGACGTGTCGGAGGGGGACCCGTCCCTCATGCCTCCCAAGATGGACGAGCGGGAAGAGGAGCGCGGGGTCACCATCGATATCAAGAGCTTCCTGAAGCCCGGAGAGAAGAGCTACACCCAGCGCTGCCGCCTGTTCGTGGGCAACCTGCCGACCGACATCATCGAGGAGGAGTTCAAGAAGCTGTTCGATAAGTACGGGGAGCCGAGCGAGGTGTTCATCAACCGGGACCGGGGCTTCGGCTTCATTCGCCTGGTGAGCCCATTGTGTATGTGTGTGGCTGTGTGCCCGGCCAGTAGGGGGCACAATAAGGCCCCGTTCTGACCTGCATGTTGCGCTAACCTGCGTTTTATACGCACAACAGCATAGAACAGCCCATTCTCTTCAATGTGCCAAAAGAATTTCCTGCACCCTTTCTGGAGGTGAGCTTTGAGCATGGAAATGTGCACGTCATAGCCACATGTGGGTTGCTGTTTAACAATTACCAGCGCCCTAAGCACGTGCAGAAATGTGAATGGGGCCTAAGGTCGCATCCACGCCTGACCTCTCCAGGACTGCGAGCAGAAACGCACATTGCTGCCCACATGTCTATTGACTCGTGAATAAATGTGCTTGCTGTGCCATTAACACCCAAATGTGGGTCGCAGTGCTGTTATGTTCATTATAACTGCTGACTGAAAGGCGCTTGGCTCAGGGCAGACAAGTTATATTGGTACGTGTAGTGCAGCCCACTGGAGTGAATTGGCTGCCCCGTCCCGAAGAAGCTCCCGTCCTGCACCTATTCAGGCACTGAGGTTTGCGCATACAAAACATGCATTTCCTAGCTGCGTCTGGGGCGCTTATGCCAATTAATGGCACTGCAATTGCAATTTTCATTTATTGCACGTTCTTGGAACATGCAAATGGCAATGCGGTTTGAGGCTGCATTTATGTCTTAAGTTTTCCAAGAGTGCAAAAAAACTGCAACACGCTTGTGGTGCCAATTGGGGACGTACCGGTGTTGGTGCCAATGCCGAGTCTTTTCACAAGTGCACGTAACAAAGCTCCCGTAAACCGATACTTTGCAGTGCAATTTTCACCCATATGTAATGATTGGGTGCAAATCCCACTGCAAAGAATAGCATGCAATTTTAACAGGAATGCGTTGAATTTCATGTCAGAATTGTATACGGTTTCCCCACTGCTTCTGTGTGAACCTAGGCTTGTCATAGTCTGAGTTCACACAGGAGTGGTGCGGGAAACATCTCTGCACCAATCCCATGATGTCACACATGCATTCTGACCAGTCAGAAGCTGTCTAGCCCGTACTGTCATCCCTGCAAGGAGTGGAGAAAAAGCAGCAGGGATTTCAAATGCCCAGACCTGTAAAGCTGCTTTTCCTCGTGTGGCAGCATGGGATCGGTGCAGGGATGTTTCCCGTGTGGCAGCATGGGATCGGTGCAGGGATGTTTCCCGTACTGCTTCTGTGTGAACTCAGGCTGTGACAATCCTTGTTCACACAGGAGCAGTGGAATTCAGACAGGAATTGCACCAAATCCATGTTCAAATCACATGCTATTGTTGCAGTACGATTTGCACAATGTATCAGTACTTGGTATTTTTCCCGTGAGTACTTGACCAAAAGTGTGGTACTGGTACTCACTGATACTGATGCATGCTTTGCTGGGGTCGGTGGGTTTTTTTGTCTTCCCCTAGATCAGTGGTGGGCAACCTTTTTTTCCAACTGAGCCAAATCTCGCCAAAACCACGATTGAAATTTATTTTGAGAGCCACATTTTTAAAACTGAAAATTCATCCCCCCTATATAGTAATTCATCCCCCCTATAGTAATTCATCCCCCCTATAGTAATTCATCCCCCATATAGTAATTCATCCCCCATATAGTAATTCATCCCCCCCCTATAGTAATTCATCCCCCCTATAGTAATTCATCTCCCCTATAGTAATTCATCTCCCCTATAAATTTATTCATCCCCCATATAGTAATTCATCCCCCATATAGTAATTCATCCCCCCTATAGTAATTCATCCCCCCTATAGTAATTCATCCCCCCTATAGTAATTCATCCCCCATATTGTGTCAATTTACTTACCTTTGCTCCGCGCGTTCCTCTCGCCGTGTTCCCGCGCCGTTCTGGTCTTCAGGGCGGACTGTGAGAGGAGAGGAGTTCGTCACGCCCCGCCTACATCCTGGCTGCCCCCCCTACATCCTGACAGCTGCAGAGTCCTGACTTTTGGGCGGCCGCCCGAGAGGAGGGAGGGGAGCGGGCGCCCGGCACACAGAAGAGCCGCATTTAAGTTTGTAAAGAGCCGCGGCTTGCCGACCACTGCCCTAGATCAACGGTGGGTATAGGATTGTAACTTTTTTTTTTTTTTTTTTTTTTCAACTAGATGGACTTTGGTCTTTTTTTCAGCCGGGCTAACTATGTGTAGGTATTGGTGCATCCCTAGTGCCAGTATTTTTTAATGGCACCTCACATGCTGGTTGCAGTCCTGTGTTTTGTCACACAGCAAAACGCTCGTCTCACTGCCAAAAAAGGTACATGAGCTGCTTTGGCGGCCTATTCACGTGAATGTTGTCATGAGACAAATGCGCCACAAAATGCATCATGTCACACAAATGTTAATGCAGCCTAGGAGGCTAAATAAATGAAAATATTACACATTATAATTGGCGTATACAAATTGTACTCCCCATGTGATTTGTACTGCATACTTACAGTAGTATTAAAGTGTGCACAAGAGCAGCAGCTCTCCCGGGTCTCTTCCGTATTGGTTGAGACACAGTAGCTGGAGCCGTTGGCTTCCACTGCTGTCAGTCACAGCTAGTTTGGAGGGGGCTGGCCCGACCCACACTCTGTGTCCTAACCACTTGAGCTCCGGAAGTTTTTACCTGCTTCATGACCAGGTTATTTTTCCTATACCACACAGCACTGCTTTAACTGGTAGCTGCGCAGTCATGCAGCGCTGTACCCAAACAACATTTTTTTATAATTTGTTCACACAAATAGTTTTCTTTTGGTGGTAATAACCTCTGGATTTTTTATTTTTTTTGTGATTATAAATGAAGAAAGACAGTTTTGAACAATATATTTTTTACTTGTTGCTATAAAATATATCAAATAAAAAAACAAATTTCTTCATAAATTTTGACCAAAATGTGTTCTGGTACAAGTCTTTGATTAAAAAATAAAAATCACAATAAGTGTTTGGCGGTGTTTGTGAACACTGCTGGCTGCACTGGTGATGAAATGAGGAACGCTTTTGGTGTCTGAAGCTTGACCATACATTTGTTGAAATTCTAGTGATTATGTTTAGGTTTTTGAGAGTAAACAAGCTCACACTGGGGCAGTAAAAGTGTCACATATAACAACTATTACCAGTAGGCAATTTACAATGTGAAATCAGCAGAGCTGTGACCATGTCCAAGGAGGACCAGTGGGAAGATTGGTTCAGCAGAAATTTCAATCAGTGTGTGGCAGTCCCTGCTCAATAGACCTGAGTTCTGTTGAAGGGACATGCTGTGAAACATTTTTTTTTTTTGGTCAAGGATTATAGCCACTGAGCAGTGTATTCTAACAGTGGTGGGTACTGCTGTCTGAGCACAATGTTCTGTGGGGGTTGAGGGAATGTATCCACCTCATTAGTGTCTCGCTAGTTAACAAAGTCTGTGGCCAGATTTACAGTGGGACTTATTTGGCTAGTGAACAGGAGCACTGTTGCTGGCTTACACTGGTGTGGCTAGAGATCGCACTGTGGCAATCAAAATTGAAGAAAAACTGTTTCCTCTCACAGCCTAGACCTGGCTGCAAGCAGTATGCAGCTTTTGTTTACATTTGTGATTTGTCACAGCAATCGTGTGGTACATGGCCAATTTCAAACTTCTGTGTACAGGGATACCTGATATTTGTAGTTCATTATGGTGCATATGTATCCATATTACAGTTTACATTTTATTAATTACTTTTAAAGTGACGTAGCGTGACATAAATACTGTGTTGCCTACAGATACAGAAGATATACAATCTCTGATGGGTCTTTTAGTTACAGGAAACCTATACAGGGAAATACAGGTGCATCTCAATAAATTAGAAAGTCATCAAAAAGTTAATTTAAGTAATTCAATTCAAAAAGTGAAACTCATATCCTATATACTAGTGGTGCACCAAAATGAAAATTCTGGTGCCGAAACAGATACCGAAAATTCAGAATGCATATGGCCGAAAACTGAACCGAAATGTCTGCGTATGTGTGGAGGCTCCAATTTTGTTTTTCTACTTTCATGTATATTTTCATTAATTTTTTTTTTAACTTTTGATTTTATTGCTATCGCATAGGGGACCAATAGTCTCCTATGTGATAGCATATGAGTGACGGTCCTCTTTGTAGGGGGGAGGGGCAGGAGAGGAGCAGTGTATACAGTGAGGGAGAAGTATATACAGAGATGTTCCCTCACTGGCTGTCACTGTATGTTGGTGCTGACTTTTAAATGCAATTGCCGGTTCTTTTTTTTTCTTCACTATAGCTCACAGAATTAGCTGTCACTTTCCCTGGAGCTAAGGGAAAAGTTTTCTTTTATCTTGGGAAATAAACTAAAAGGAAACATTGTGTCTTTTAGCTGGGGGGGGGGTTGGGAAGTGACAAGTCATTCTCTGAGCTATAGTGAAGAAAAAATTTTGATGATTATGGCTTACAGCTAGTGAAAACCCAAAGTGCAGTATCTCCGAAAAGTAGAATATTACTAAGACCAATAAAAAAAGGATTTTTAGTACAGAAATGTTGGCTTACTGAAAAGTGTGTACAGTATAGTATGCATTCAATATATCGGGGTTCCTTTTGCATGAACTACTGCATCAATATGGCATGGAGGAGATCAGCCTGTGGCACTGCTGAAGTGTTATGGAAGCCCAAGTTGCTTTGATGGCGGCCTTCAGCGCGTCTGCATTGTTGGGTCTGGTGTCTCATCTTTCTCTTGACCATACCGCACAGATTCTCTATGGGGTTTAGGTCAGGAAGTTTGCTTGCCAATCAAGCACAGTGATACCATGATCATGAACCACTTCAAGTCCGGACACTTTCACCTTCTTCCTGCCCAGGCCAATTTTCAGCTTTCAGCGCTATCACACTTTGAATGACAATTGCGCGGTCATGCAACACTGTACCCATATTCATTTTTTAGCATTTTTTTAAAACGGATAAAACTTTATTTTGATGGTATTTATTCACCACTGGAATTTTTATTTTTTTTACTATATAAATAAAGTCCAAAAAATTTGAAAGTTTTTTTTTTTTTAAATTTTGCAAATCTTTCTTCATAAATCTTGGCCAAAATATATTCATCTATTTTTTGCCATTAATATGCTTGGATACAGTAATCTGTGAGCAGCCAACTTCTTTAGCATTTTTTGACATGCCCTCCTTATGGAGGGTGTCAATGACTGTCTTCTGGACAACTGTCAAGTCAGCAATCTTCCCCATGATTGTGTAACCTACTGAACCAAACTGAGAGACCATTTAAAGGCTCAAGAAACCTTTACAGGTGTTGGCGTTAAAAAGGAGATTCAGCTGAAAAAAGTCAGCAGCTACAAAAACTTTTGCTGCTGAGTTTTAAAATACAGCCACTTACCTGTCCCTCGGTCCAGCGGTGTCCCCACCATGGCTGGTTTCACTCGCTGTCTTCTCTCCCTGGCGCCGGCATCTTTAGTGTGGGCACCCAGCTGTGACAGCTTGCGGCTTCACAGTCGGGTGCCCACTGTGCATGCGTGAGAAGCACTGCGCTTTGTGTATGACCCCGTAGTTTATGGGAACTGTCACGTGTACTGGAAGACTACGGGGAGGGAGGAAAACTTCTGCTTTCAATCGCCTAGGCCAGGGGTAGGCAACCTGCGGCTCTCTAGCTGTTGTGGAACTACATTTCCCATGAGACATTGCAAAATTGACAGTTACAGCTATGAGTTGCAGAGGCATGATGGAACTTGTAGTCCTGCAACAGCTGGAGAGCTGCAGGTTGCCTACTCCTGGCTTAGGCGATCGCAGCAGAAGTGGGAGCGGGTACCTGTCAAATTCGGGTACCCGATCCCCAAAGGTTCCAATCCTTAATGGGGAGCGGGGGACAAAGCATTAAAGCGGAACTTCCCCTTTTGGTGGAACTCCTCTTTAATTTGCTGATTGGAGTGTGACAACATAAGTCTACAATATTGAACTTTTTCACAATATTCTACTTTTCTGTGATACTGCACTTATGTCTTCACTAGCTGTAAGCCATAATCTTCAAAATCAAAAGAAATAAATGCTTGAAATATATCACTTTAGGTGTAATAAATCTACATGAGTTTCACTTTTTGAACTGAATTACTGAAATATGCGACTGTATATGTAGGATGACATTGCTTTCCTCTCCTGCAAATACTATCTGCCTGGATCTCATTCTTCATCAATGGTTTTATTGATTTGAGCTTATTGTACCATCTGTGTAATTGCCTGTGGTCACAGGAGGGGAATTATCAATCATTGTTTAACTTTTCAGTTTTAGTATGAAATCTGCCATTTAGCTGGTCATTCTGTTTTTATGTACACATCATCTTGATGAATTTTACCCTGTTAAATTCAGGCACTGCCTATGTGGCCGATACCGGTGTTTGAATCGACCATCCAGGCATCTCGTTTCATATTAAACTTGAATGCAATGTGACTTCCATGGTTTATATTACAGTACCCTTACGTTAGTATCAGACATCTGGGTGCCACTTTCTTCAGCAAAAGGCTGTGGATTGTTCATCAAGTTGTGGATGCCATGGGCCATATTCATAAAGCTACAATTGCATTTAATGGAGATCATTTGAGTGGCAAGTGTAGGCTTTCATTCCTGGGCCTTTAAAAATGCTTGACTGTCATGCTGACCATCTTGCTTTAGTGCTTTTGAGTCCCTAACTCAGAAAAGCACGTATTGAGGAATTTTGATACTTTCTTACTGTTTTGATTAGTTGGCTGAGAGAGCAATAGCAGCCCGTTTTTCCTTTCTGGTAGGTTTACTTAAAGGTTGGCCTTAGGTGAGGCAGTTTTTTTTCTTGTTCAACCAGCTGGTTCAATGGAAAAACTGACCCAATTCTCCCATCTTCCTCTCTACTGTACAACCAGTAGCCATTCATGGATTGAACTTTAGCCAGTGACTGCTGAGATGGCTACGATTTGATACATGTACAGCCAGCTTAAGGCATTTAGCATCCCTCAATGTGGACACCTAGATAAGTATTGACATTATGTCTGCTGGTCAATGCTGTTAAAAACTTAGTTTGAACTGCTTGCCTTCCGCACTTAACCTGCTTTTTTATTTTTATGCACTTTTTTTAGCCAGGGCTTGGGTAAGATTGAAAGCAAATCCCCAGTCAAGTACTTGGGTCTGCCTATCAATGCTGCTGCACCTGTTAAGAAGGAAGAACAATCTTGGTTACAGCATTGAAATTCTGACTGTTTAGCCTTGCAGGCTCCCCTAGGGACCTCCCAGCCGCTGTTTTCAATGTCACCCTGTTTTGGCTTTGTGAGGCAGACACATTGTTGCCTACCTGCAACAAAGTGTCAGCGAGCATAGCAGCCGGTGGGACCAGCAGGAAGCATGTACTATTTGACAGACAAGCATTTCATTATTGTAACTTTTATCAGGGGCAGCAACTTAAGGTGCTATTGCAGCTTGAAGAATCTGCAGAGGAGGCTCAAAATGTTTCAAAATGTTTTTTTTTTTTTTTTTTTTTCCCCGCCTAGGAATCCAGAACACTTGCAGAAATTGCTAAAGCAGAACTTGATGGCTTGGTTATGAAAAGCAGACCCCTCCGCATTCGTTTTGCTACTCATGGTGCAGCTTTAACGGTTAAGAATCTATCACCAGTTATTTCAAATGAGCTACTTGAGGAAGCATTCTCAATGTTTGGTCCAGTTGAGAGAGCTGTAGTTATTGTTGATGATCGTGGCAGAGCTACTGGCAAAGGATTTGTGGAGTTTGCAGCAAAACCTCCAGCAAGAAAAGCTCTGGAGAGATGTTCAGAAGGCGCTTTCTTACTGACAACGTAAGTGCTTATTTATTTGTTTATTATTTAAATTAATAAACTTAAATATTCGTTTCTGTGTTCTTTAACACAGTTCAATATAATATATTTTTAAAAAAAAGAAAATCCCTTCATCTATGCATCAATATTTAATAAACACGAATAAAAAAATAAATCCAGTGTTGACAAAATCAAATATTAGTAACATAAAATTCAAAAGTCATATCACTTCCAAAGTAGTTAGAAATTCTGTGCACCGTGATGATGCAAAACCGTATATGTATAAATCTGTTCCGTATACAGTATGTATGAATCTGTCTATACGTGAATCCAATCTGTGTGCAATCTTGATTGCCAAAAATAAGTCCACATAATTGCTTCATTCAGGTAAATAGAAAAAGATCCCATTGTTCCATGCTGTACCACCTATGAGGGTGCACACTCATCTTAAGAGATGGACCTTAAAGAGGAACTGCAGTCAAGCATGCTGAATAAAAAACAGTATGCAGTTGAAACACTAAAGCTGAGTTAGGAATTCGTGTTAACCGCTTACTTTTTCTGTAAGACTTTATCCCTCATGCTGCTTGTGTGAGCTGCTGTTTTTGTAGTGACTACAAATAAGCCCTGGCCGCAGTAATCGGTGGCTCAGTGAAATCTTGCACATGTGCGGTACAAGTGCTCCAGGCCATGCATGCGCAGTAGAAACGGCGCTTCTGTTCCAGTGTGTACAGGTCTCCTGCTTTGCTTTGCCTCACCAGTAGAGTGAAGTCTCGTGCATGTGCGGTAAAAGGCTGTGCATGCGCAGAAGAAACCACACCTCTTTCCTCAGTGGACATATCTCCTCCTATCTCCACCCTCATCCAACCCCTCCTGCTCTGTAGCACTCCTTGGCCCTTCCTCAGCCCTACCACATTGTCCCTGCCCCCCCCATCACTGCCAGCAAACTATCAGAGTGAGAAAAAAAATAATCTAGAACCGTCCTACACCTGAGTTGGCTTTGCCTATGAGGTAGAATTTATAGCCCCCAGAACACTGAAAAGATTAATTTGTTATTGTTTCAGTTTGGTGTTCTCATGTCTACCATCATACTAAACCATCCATTGTACTTTTGAGTTTTTAACCTGGTGCATGAGAATTATCTAATAAGGGCATTGGCAACAATAAAATTCTTTTTTAGGGCCTGTTTTGCTTTGTGATCATTGTTTGTTTATCCTGGTGACACCTTAGAAGTCACACTTTATAGTATGTACATCATAGCAGAAAATGTCTAGCACTAGTAAACCAGTGATGAAGGTGACCTGAAGCAAACTTTTTTTTTTTTTTTTTTTCTCCCCATTTCCCTTCCCTCCAGAGAAGCCTGCAATGTGAAATTCTTATCTTCCTCCCTGTTCAATTGAAAAATAGATTTTTTTTTTTTTTTTTTGTGTTCAGCTTACAGCTGCTGCTTCAGGAACACTTTTATCTTAGATTTTCCCTCAACAGACAGTCTACCCTCTGCCTAGTAGTGATTAGACACAGCTCTGCCTCAGTTCCACATATACAAAGCTTAGTTCTTTATTTTCTTTCAGCAGGTTAATGCTTTTTCACGTGAGGAAAGTGGGACATGTCTGTCCATATGCAGATAACGAATCAGAAGAAGTTGCTATACTAATATCAATATTGGTAGGCACCTGTCAGCTCAGAGCTGAGGCTTGTTATGCTAATGTCTTGGCTTTAACCTCTTCCCACCATCCATAAGTATATATGCAGAAGGTGGACCTTAACATCGAGCTGCTGCACATACTCCTCTATAAGGATTGGCAATCATGGACAGCTCCCAGTGATCATTTACTATTGGGAGCTTCTGATCATGTGACTGCTAAACACCATAGTCCCATCATTCAGATCCTCTTAAGGGTCAGGGGGGTGGTAGTGGAAAGGGGTTAATTCTCATGTGAATGACCTGGAGTAGGTGAAAGACAGAACATTTCTGACACAGCGTGCTTCTTCTAGGTTTTGATTTAAAAACTACTACTATTGTGACAGGTCTAAATTTAAAGTGAGTGCAACGCCAAAACTTTTATAGCTGTGGATAGAGTGGGGAAAGAATAGAACATTTGTCCAGGGTTATTGTTGCCTCTGTCCCCACTTGGTAGATGAACCCACAGCATTTGTTCACCATTGTCACCGGGATAAAAGTAAAATGGAAATCCTCCCCAACAGGGGCATATAACAAAAAATTAACTGACAGGGTTTTTACCCTTGCCTACTCTGTCCAAAGCTAAAATTAAAGATAAAAGTTTCTGCTACACATACACTGACTGTCACTTTACAAAAAAAAAAAAAAAATAAATCCTGACAGGCAGGGCCAGGTATGTGTCAGCACCTAAAGGCGTCTGAACATACCTGCAGCCACTTTTACCTTGTCCTTTTTGACTGATAGTTGGACACTTCTGATCTGGCTAATTTCTGAGACTTGGTGGAAGTGTTCAACCTCGATCTCTCCTTCACACCCAGTCTACTGATTGCCTAAATTGCCAGTTGAAATGTTTTGCACTTGGATGGGGATGGGCTTGCTTTCACAGATCTAGGAAGTACTGAAGCTTTGCCTTCAGGCCTGGCATTCAGGCTTAGTGGGGGCACTGAAAACTTCTCCAGATATGTGCAGGCATCCCTAGGTGCCTGTTCTTTATACCAGTCTTGCTTTTTACAACAGTCCCTTTAAAGGCAGACAATGCATACGCTAAACCATACTTTAGGGCTCATGCACATGGGCAGAAAAATACTGCTGTTAAAGGCGTCTGTTTTTTTATTTTTGCTTCTAAAAACAGCTCTAGTTTATCTGATGTGCATAGGCACATTGTGTCGTTTACAGGTGCATTTTAGAGCAGCATTCAAGGGAATGAAAAAAGCACCAAACCTGCATGCAGACAGCAGCTTTTAAGCGTAATTTATGCTCATGTGTGTGAAACACATCTAAGCATACCTTAACACATGCTTATACATTTAAATTCTAATGGCTGGAATAAGTCTAGTCAGTAGAGTGAGTGAGCTTATGCTTATATGCATCTAAACACACAAAAAATGTGGCACTTTAGGCATTTTTTCTGCCAACTTCAGCCAGTATATTTTGTAGCATTTTTAGTACACAGTGTGCACAAGCCTTTAGAATGTATGTGTGCATGGTCAGTTTCAGAAGCTCTATTCTTGTGAAAATATTTTCTGTTTTTTTGGGGTCCAAATGAAGTCTTAAAATAGAACTTCTTCTTTTTTTTTTTTTTTTTTTTTTTTTTTTTTTTTTTTTTTTTTTTAGCAAGGAACACACATTCCAGACTAATAACTATGCTACCAAAACGAGTTTGTGCTGTAAATTGACTCCAGCCTTGCTCCTGTTTCTTCTTGCTGGAGGCTTCCATTTTGCTGAAGCCCACAGCCCCTGAGCAGCAGTAAATCTTTAGGCTGCCTGCAGATCAGCCTCTATATTTTCAGCACAGTGCCTAAAAGTAAGAGCAATTGAACATGTTCAGAGCATAGTGAGACAGTGTATTACTGGTGTTTAAACAGTATAGATACTTTGTTTTTTTTTTTTTTTTTTTTTACAAGGTTATACCTGCAAAAAGGGCCAGTCTAAAGTGATCAAGGAGGACCTAATTTTCTGGCTAAAGATCCACTTTAAGTCTCTGAACGCAGAAAATCCACAATCATGTCTGCGTGACTTGTCACCACTCAATTTTTACAAGAGTAGCATGCTTGGCATACCTACAAACCATAAATTTCCTCTTACCAGCTACAAGATGGTACCATGCATATGTGATTTGATTTATTGAGTATGTATACTTTTCCAGAACTCCGCGGCCAGTTATTGTTGAACCAATGGAACAGTTTGATGATGAAGATGGCCTACCAGAAAAATTCATGCAAAAGACTCAACAGTATCTGAAGTAAGTTTAACAAAGGCAAATATCTGAAAATCGCAACAAACTTATCTTATTTGCACACTTTAATCTCCTATACCATTGAAATCATTTTATTTCTGTTAAATTCTTAAAAAAAAAAAAAATACTTCTTGTTACTGCTAAAAATCCTGTCAGCTGATAACATCCTGTGCTTTCCTCCTCTGCTGACTTTTATCAGCAGTTTTCCCCAACTGTATCTATGGACTGCAGAACCTCTTCTTTGGTGTTAGGGAGGAGAGGGATAGTGTTCTGCAGTCCTTGTTCTAGGTTGACAGCACTACCTCTCTGTAGATACATAAGTGAGTAAACATTGTCAACCTAGGACAGTACGTTTAACTGGCATGATAATCGGATGTGGTGGCTGCATAGTTTTCAGGCTTTTTTTTTATTGCAAGACTGGTGATCGGCAATATATAAAATTTTTGTTCTTTTGGTTTTGACCAGTGGTCTCCAAACTGCCGCCCGGGGGCCAGATGTGGCCCTTTTGCTTGCTTTTATCTGGCCCCTGGGGCACTTTTCCTCCCACTGATACAAACAATGGGGCATGATTCCCGCTACTGACAACAACTGGGCACCATTCCTCTCATTGACACCAACAATGAGGTACTTTTCCTCCCACTGACACCAGTGATAAGTCTCTATTCCTACCATTGACACCAATCATGGAGCACTATTCCTTCCACTGACACCTACAATGAAGCACTGTTCCTCCTGCTGACGCCAATGGTGGGGCGCTGTTCCTCCTGCTGACGCCAAACCTGCATTGTTTACTCCCTCTGATGCCAGGACAATTGCTAATCCCGCTGCTGTCCATTTTAGCCAGTGAGGAAGGAGTGGGGCCGAGCCGTGTTCTGTGTTTGTTGACACACACACACACACACACACACACACACACACACACACACACACACACACACACACACACACACACACACACACACACACACACACACACACACAATAAGCATGCATGAGTGCCCCCAGAGCAAGCTACTTAATCTAGGGGAACTCAGCAGGCTGGCTGTGTCCTGAGAAGATGGGGATCAAAGCTGCTGTGTGCAATACAATTGCACAGAGCAGCCAAGTATGACTTTTTTTCTTCTCTTTTTGTTCTAATCAGAACCCTTATAGTCACTTTGTCTTCTATGTTTCTGTATTTCCTTTCCGGTGCACCTACGCTCCAGCTGCAGGTGCACGTTCAGAATCCCATATGTAACATTGCTGACCAAACTGCATGTCGCAGCGTTCCTAGTTCAGTGGTGTACCTTATTCTGCAGCAAAGCAGCAACACTGATAGGATGGGAGTGTCATTTGCCAATTCCATGGGCATTGTAGAGTGAGAAGGAGGCTGTGCATTAGGGCTGCACTAATATCGGTATTGGTGCCAATACCATACAAAACGAATGGGCTCAAATTGCACTGCAAAGAATTGCATGCGATTTTAACAGGAATAGCACAGCATGTGGACCGCTGGAGGAGGGGTATAGGCAGCCTGGCTCCAAAGCTGATGTCACTTGTGCCTTGTACCCACAGGGTCCCGGAACTTCAAGCAGCTGGTTTTGGATTTGACATGCATGATATTGAGCACTTTAACATGTGAGATGTGATGACATTTTAACCTGTTTGTTTGCCCATTGCTGCACTTCGTGTTGCTTCCCTGTCTTTCTATACTGGGATCACACAGGAATAGTGGGGAAAATTGCATGTGATTTGAACAGGAATCGCACTGCATTCCTGTTCAAATCACGTGATTCTTTGCAGTATGATTTGAGCCCATTCATTTTGTTTCAGCAAGTACTTGACCAAAAGTATCGGTAGTTATACTCGCCGATTGAAAAGTAAATGGTATTGGTGCAACCCTACTGTGCACAGAGAGAAGTTATGTCAATAAGACCTCCTTCTCTCTAGCTCCCTGGTCTCCTCCTCCCATGCCCGCCTCCAGTACTTCTCCAGGGTGTCACCCATCCTCTGGAACTCCCTGCCCCAACCCATCAGATTATCACCTACTCTCTCCTCTCCTTTAGGCGCACCCTGAAAACCCATCTCTTCAGGGAAGCCTACCTCACCCCCTGCTAACTTGCTGACCTCCTCCACTCTTCCTACCACCATCCCCCACAGCTATCTCCTCCTGTACCACTATCCCATCCCTTCTAGATTGTAAGCTCGAAAGAGCAGGGCCCTCGATACCCTCATGTTTTGTATTGTATTGGTATTGTTCTGTCACATGTTCTGTCCCCCTTTGTAATGTACAGCGCTGAGTGAACTATTGGCGCTTTATAAATACTGTATAATAATAATAATAATAAAAAGAGTATTGTGCTGATTATGCATGTCCCTTAGACAATCTTCAGCAGTTTTTAACTTGGTTTGAAACATTCCAATGCATTTGTCCAATCATAAAACTTTTTTCTTTTCTTTTTTCAGAGAAAAGAGGAACCCCCACGGTTTGCTCAGCCTGGAAAGCATTTGAATTTGAATATGCTTCCAGGTGGAAAGCTTTGAATGAAATGGAAAAAAGCAGCAAAGAGAGCAGGTGGACAGAAATATCAGAGAAGCTAAAGAAAAACTAGAGGCTGAAATGGAAGCCGCTCGTCATGAACATCAGCTTATGCTAATGAGGCAAGGTGAGAACCCCAAATCCTTACTAATATACACATGGTTCCCCAGTTGCAGCTGCATAAGCTGTCTGAAATAAATTGCAAAAGCAGCATCAGATTTTTTTCCAGTTTTAATAAACCCTTATATATATAGTGCACCTACGCTCGCTGGGTGTACGTTAAAATCCCAAAAGAACATGCTAAAATGAATGTCAAGCGTTAAAATAGTTCATAAAGTCCTTCCACAATTAAGTGACCATAGGTGTATGAAGTGTCTTTGCCTCCCATAAAGGGCATGGTATCGTGAGAAAAATGGAGGCTCACCATTAGGCTGCACATTTTAATATCGGTATTTGTGCAATCCATGCAGAAACCAATGGGCCAACATGCAGATCAAAGGACACATGGACATCGATTCTCAAATACTGACATCGGCCTTGGACAGTACCTCCAGGTATATAGAGCCCTTTCGTTCCAAAGATAGGCAGGCAGGGCCTTGTACCCCCTCCTGGGTCCAGGTACCCCAAGAAATGGTTTTGATTTGATGCATGATCGTTGAGCCTGTAAACACGTGACAGAGCACTGTGCTCTGTCACGTGGTTTACATTGCGCCGACGATCATGCATCTTCCCTGTTTTCTGGGTACTGGAACCAGGAGGGGGACCCCTGCCTGCCTATCTTTTGAAACGAAAGGGCTCTATATATCGCACTGGATTACTGCACAAGGCCGTGTTCAGTATTGAGAGGGATTTTGAGCCCATTCATTTTGTTTCAGCAAGTCTTGACCAAAAGGTTATACTCGCCGATTGAAAAGTAAATGGTATTGGTGCAACCCTACTGTGCACAGAGAGAAGTTATGTCAATAAGAGTATTGTGCTGATTATGCATGTCCCTTAGACAATCTTCAGCAGTTTTTAAATTGGTTCGGTGAAACATTCCAATGCATTTTTTCCAATCATAAAACTTTTTTCTTTTCTTTTTTCAGAGAAAGAGAGGAACCCCCACGGTTTGCTATGGTCTGGAACATTGTGAATTTGGCTTTAGGTGGAAACTTTTTATATGAATTCATTTTAGCAAAGAGAGCAGGTGTTCAGAAATATCAGAGAAGCTAATTAAAACTACCAAATGGAAGCCGCTCGTCATATATAGCTATATATTCTTGCTTAAGGTCCAGAGAACCAAATCCTTACTAATATACACATGTTCCCAGTTGAGCTGCATAATGTCTGAATAAAGTATCGCAAAATGCATCAGATTACCAGTTTTGTTTAATAGAATTTTTTTTTTTCTCCTTTTTAGATCTTATGCGGCGTCAGGAAGAGCTTAGGCGGCTAGAAGAGCTGAGAAATCAGGAGCTTCAGAAGCGGAAACAGTTTCATATGAGGTAATCTGTTCAGCAAGTAGAAAATTTAAACTAGCTTTCTTCTGTGTTTAGATAAAGACCTTTATCTAATATCTGAATTTAAACCCTCAGGCATGAAGAAGAGCAGAGACGACGTGAAGAAGAAATGATTCGACAGCGTGAGCAGGAGGATCTTCGTCGACAGGAGGGTTTTAAGGCCGCTTACATGGACACTGTAAGTAACTGAATTTGATCTCCAAAGTACTAGAAAGGATTTTTCCTTCTTTTGACCATCTTCAAAATGGTTTTCAAATGTTTTATTACATATTTTGCTAATTTCTTGTCATTGCTTTTGACAATATTTTGAGATAAGTTAGCAATTTTTTACAGATTTTTTGTTTTGCTTGTTTAGGACTACAGGTAGATTAGAGCGTTCAGCCTAGATTTTATCAGCCAAGGATGTCATGAGAGCACTGCAGTAGAAATACTTCACCTTTGCTGTTCAGGGGCAGATTTTGCTAAACATGTTGACAAACATGTAATTTACCTGGTGCAAAGAACAGCACAATGTTATCACCAGGTAAAATGAAAAAGGACACCTTAGAAACTGCTGAGAAATTACTTAAAAGCAGTTTAAAGTCAAAATGAAGACAGTATTATGAATATATCAGCTGGTTGTGGATGGAAGGAAGGTGGGCCTAGAGAAATAAGGAAGAAACAAAACCGCAACTAGAGGATTGGGTAAAATGGCAGCGGGATCTACACGTGGTTACTAGCGCAAACCACAGAAGAATTTCATAGAGGCAAGAGTTCAGTCTAATTTTAGATGGATCTAATTTATCCATGGAGTCCTTATGCTCATGATTATGTTATGAGAATTGTGCTAAATATATGTTGCATTGACATTTGTGGCATTAATCCTTTGACAGCTTTGGGGAAACAAGATGATTTTAAATATAGCTTTGATTAGTTTGGTTGCTTTAAAGGACAACTTCTTCCTCCACCCTCTGTTCTTCTGGGGAAGCCACATTTCTAAATGGGTACCCTTCAGTCTGGCCCTGGCATCTTATATCTCTCTGCCCAGTACCACACAACCTTTGCACAAAAAGTCCTAACTTCAGCAGTAGTCTTTTGCTAATGCCCAACACTCACCACCTTCATTCCTCTTGCTAAGTCTGTCCTCCAGATGGCTGGGTTACCATGATTATGGTTGGATGTGAACAGGCTGCGGGGTGCTAGGCTGGGCCCCATGGTGAAGATCTTTACTGGAGTTGGATAGAAATAACTTAATAAATACATTTGTCCTTTAAAATAAGTCTATGCTTGCTATTGGAAAAATATGACCTTATGTTCAAATGCATCCCAAAGGTCTCTGGAAAGGTTGTTAAAATATGGTAGTAATCCCTAACAAAAAAATCTTTTTTATTTTTTAGTGATTAAGGATCTAATTGGCTATTTTGGCTGGGCTGATACACCAACAAATTCATCTTTATGAAGTGGTCCACTTGGCAAAATCTTTTGTTTTATTGTGTTAACTTGTGTGGTCTTCATTGTATGTTTTCATCTGATATGCGATACTGTGAAATTTGGTCTACTTTTTATTTGTAAGTTTGTGCACAGTACCTTAGCTAGATCTCTGAATATGCAGAACAGGTGTGTTTGGCGCGTGTTCTAAAATCAGTTAAACATTCGACGGAACTTCAGGAAAATTGCTAAGATATGAACATATCTTCATGGCTCGTTCACACTATGGTGCAGAGACGTCAGTTTCTATAAGCGTTCTGCAAGGGCACAGCAAAATCCATTGTTCTCTATGTGCCCTGATCACAGCACATCACTGGTATCGCATGCAGATTTGTTTTCTGTGCAGGAATCTGTAACCTGTATAAAACTCACTGAATCGCGCATGAAAACTGAAGTGAAATCTGCTCATCATTTTCCATCAGTTTTTCTTCATGTACGAGGCCTCAAGATATCAACCCTGTGAATAAGCCCATGATAAATGATGTTCTTTGTATCATTGGTCTTTGATCATAATTACTATAGAAGGCCTTTGTATCAAGGGCGAATTCCAGCCAACATTTTTTTTTTAATACATTTGAACTGTCTGCTTCTTACTGTGGTCTATGAGCCCTTTTCAAAGAGATTTCCTTCTTTCCTTTTGGGACAGGAAGTGATGGCAGTGGGGACAAGACTGCAACAAAACCGTTTTTACTGTGAAATGGGTAAAGGGTTAGAACATGTCAGGTTATTGTTTGGGTCTTGTTTTTTGGTGATAACTACCTTCCCAACTTTCTTACTGTTACAGGGAGAGAAATGAGTTGAAATCTCAAACAGATTCAGGTGCAACAATAAAAACTTAACAGAGTATTTTACTCTCTCCACGTCGATCCAAAGCAAAAATGTTTTGGACTACATTTCAGACCCTACAAAAATGGTTGTGCAGTTTTTACAAATGTTACAATAACAATGTATTTAATTTAAATTGAAAGTGAAAAATGTTTTGGTTATAGTGCCAATAAAATAAGTGTTCAAAAGATCACTGTGCGTTAGGAGAAAAAAAGTACTTTCTGCCCCAATCCAGCAATTCTTTACTGTGTGGCCCTGCTCAGGAACACAGCTAGTTCGTACTTCACATGTAAGCCATAGCCCCATTCCTTCCTGTGGTGATGCTGTACTCTGAGCGTTTGCGACATTTACACGAAATCTGTTCAAGGTTACAGTTTATCGTTGACTACTATTATGATATTTAAATATATGCAAATATAATTCTATTGTACAACGAGGGAACAGCCACTGCTCAAACCGACCCCGAGAGTCCAGTGTATAAGATGGCCTCAGCCACGTATTCTGACGCATTTTGCCTGCTCACCGGGCTTGATCTATCATGGTTGTGAAAATGAAATGTTTGCAAATTAGATGACTGCACAACCTTTGATATTAAAGATCATTTACCTTTTTCCTGATGAAAATGGTGAAAAACCTAATTTTCCTGATGTGTGGTGAAAAACCTAATTTGTTTTTGCTAAGATAATTCTGTATATTTTCCTATTCTGTTTATGTTACGTGGAATTGGTTGGTCTAATATTGTATTTCGTCACAAGGCAGCTCACATTGTTTCATTATGCAGTTATGTACAATATTCAGAAAGAATGATTTCAATTTGCTTTACTGTGGTGTTTACATGCCTAAGAAGTTCTACTAGATATGTATTAAAATTGCTGTTAAAGGGATGTGAACATTGTTTAAACAAGCACATTTTCCATTCTTGCTTTATTCATAAAACAAGCGTTCCCATTTTGAAATTTCCCTTTTTGCAATGTCTATAGATTTGTTTCCTGTGCAGCCCAAGTGCATGCAGAACGTTCATTTTTTTTTTTTTTTTTTTTTTTTTTTTTTTTTTTTTTTACCTAGTTGCTATTGGCAATCTGTTATGTATCATATGTAAATATTTTTAGATAATCAGATCAAAAATGAATGTTAAATATTGGGTATGAGCAGAAACGGTTACTGTCTCTTTTGAAAGTGAGAGGTGGATAACAAAACACATGTAAGGAGGTGTGCGTGTTTGGGGGGATTACTTAAATTAATTTTGTAGAATAGAACAGTAAAATAATAAAACATTTTTAATACCCATGCATCAAGAGTCTACACTCTCTATCCTGAACGTGATACAAGACCAGATTTGCAAAGAAAATAGTGGCAAAATATGTTGGTAGTTATGGATTAAAGGCTTTGATGCTCTAGTCACAGAGACCAGATTTAATCAAATTGTGGCTTGTAATTTTTTTTTTCTCACATATATTAGCTTAGAGTGTACCAAGCTGCCACACCAGTCATGAAATTTTGTGGGCCGTGTAGGTTGATTCCAGTGTAAACAACCCAGACCTTTGTAGTTTCCTCAGGAGCTAATGGTACCTCAGTGGAGGAAAGCTGCCTGTCAGACTCAGAGCAATATTTTGAAATCTGTGTCTGTTGGTGTCTTTAGAAGTCTGCTTACTGTTTTAGGCCTCATTCACACCAGTGCGCAGAGACTTAATTTTTTTTTCACGCATTCTGCAAGGGTGCAAGTAAACAGTTATTCTCTGTGCCCTGTTCACACCACAACACTGGCATCGTATGCATATTTTTTTCTACGCAAGAATTTGCAACGTGTACAAAACTCGCTGAAACATGCCTAAAACCTGATGTAAATTAATTTCTCTGCAAGTGAAATCTGCACATTTTTCCATCAGTTTTTTTGCATGTATGGTGTGAATGAGGCCTAAGTGACACGCTTACAAGAGTTCTAAAGAATTTCCAGTACATATGGAAAGTGGTACATCCATATGTCATTTTGTTCACAATAGTGATGTTTTTTACTGCAGTGTTTTGCAATGATGTATATTGTTTGGAAATTTTACTTGGATCAGTTTCTCTGTAACTGAAATGTATTTTATTAAAAGCTAAAACATATGCTTTTCCTGATGCTGCCTTCACACAGTTTTAACAATCTTATGTTAAAAGTTAGCATACATATTGCTCGCCTTATGCTGGTCTCATTGCCTCTGCACTACACCAACCTGAACTTAAGACCCATCTCCCTGCTATCATTTGCCTCTAAACTTCTAAATCGCCTAATCTACATCTGTCTGAGCTTCTACCTCACTAACAAACTTCTTGACCCCTTACAAATATGGCGTTCACTCGCAACGTCCCTCAGAAACTTCCCTACAAAAACATACTGAAGCCTGACCAGCTGCTAAAACCAGTGGCCATTACTCCATTATTATACCATTGCACCTTTTCTGCTTCCATTTGTTGAAGTGTTTCTGCAATGTCTCCTCCAATTCTTCTCATATCTTCTCTGTATTCTCTATCCACAACCTCATCCCTTAGTAATGCAAAAAACAACTGACGTTATCTAGTGACCAACTGGCATGTCCATATCGATATTGCACCACTTCTAAAACGAAATCTGAGCTCATAATAGTAAACCCTCTTTTCCCCCACAGCCTCTCTCCCTACTTTATCAGCATCAATAATACCACACGTAATATGTGACAGGGTGCCAGTGTAATCCTGGACTCTGACCTGTCCTTACAGCCCCAAATCCAATCACTTTCCAAATCTTGTACCAATGCAGTCACTGACCTGCTCATTCACTCCCTTGTTATCACTTCATTATTGCAACTCCCTCCTCATTGATCTACCTTTACACCGGCTGTCCCCCCTTCAGTCTATTCTGAATGCTGC